TAATGGCGGTCTCATAAAGATTTCGCTAAATAGAAAAAAATATTTTTGAGTGTCAATGAATTTAATTTTGGTAAAAGCAGGAGTGCATTGAATTTTCAGACGTTGTATAATTATAGTAGGATCTATTGAGAGAAGGAGAAGAGGATTAATATGCAATTAATGTTAAAAAGAGATACGAAAAAAAAGGGAATATAGCCTAAAATGAGGCTTATTGGAAGTTTTCAGACCTTAAAGGAATGTTAATAGAAATAAACGTTGTGGTTTAATGAGGCTTCAAAGATTTAATGAAGCTAAGTACCGATAGGATGATGAGATCTGATAGGATTCAGAGCCTATTTCCAATGGTGCAAAAGCATGCTGCACCACAAGGAAACTTAGTTCTGGGACAGCGGTAGATATAACTGGGCTTTTGGCCCCTTTAACAAATCAAAACATAGATAAACATTTTTGAGGACGGTTTCAAGAATTTGAAAGAAAAATGCTAAGCGCATTTCATTAATATAGATATCAAAGTATTACACTAAAGAAATATTGTTGTATATTATTAAATTTAAACTATTCGAGAATCTAAACAAGCTGAACGAGTTGGAAAATTTCATGGCGCAAAATTATAATTAAAAATTTGATCATAAGTTAATAAGCAATTATAAGCCAAATTGAATAAAGATTTTCTCTAAGTTCCATTCATTCAATAAATATTGTGTTTGTCGTAGCTAAAGTAAAAAAAATTTGCATTTTTTGAATCAATCGAGTAATAATGAATCGAAGATTGTTTAAAAAGGAACTTCATTTCTTGGTTTTTTTGTTCAGCAGAAATGTATTTATACGTATTTAAATGCTCTTGTAGACAAGAAAAAATATTTTAAATGCAAACTGATGGAAAAAGTCGTTTGATGCAACAAATTTTGTTGTTATTATTTATTATGCTAAAATGAAAGATATTTAAAATTAAAATTAAGTATATAAATATATGATCACACGACAATAATCATGAAATTGGCGAGATAAATATTATCATGAGGTAAGTGCTTTCATAGGATAGCCATTGGCATATTAATGTAGCAGATTTTCCAATTTTTCTGTGTTCTCTTCGAATAAATCACTTACTGATATATCCTTAAAAAAGAACAATTAAATAATATTTTTTTAAAATAAATAATGGTGAAAAAAAGGGTTTAAAAGCTTTTCAACGAATATAAATCTATTTAGCCGTTTTTTGGCCATCCATAAGTAATTATTTTGTTTTTGAATTATTAAATTAAATTTTCCTCTTGCAAAATTTTATTTCTATTTTATGATTCCCCAGCTCAATTGTAAAATTTGTCAATTGTGAAGCAACTTATTTATTAAACCTTCCGAGATAGTTTGAAGCATTGCTCGTTCATAAATGTAAGAATTTTTTTCGCAATATTGAACAAAATATTCTGTAAAAAAATCGTTTTTTCCAATCGAAATAAAAAGAAAAGTTTGTTGAAAAAAATTTCCTGCGATAGGTTATTAACGATAATTTATTAGCGATAATTTATTCTTCCTTTTCATCATTACCATAAAAAGTTATAAATATTGATAAGTCTCAAATATCAACGGGAAGTAGCGCTTTGAAACTTATGCCATTTTAATTAAGGATTCACTAAGAAACAAACTAACCCCTAAATCTGTGTTTTGAAGAGAACATTGTTTGTTAACTTCATTACGTAGACAATCCAAATAGCAAACTGCAGACCTAAGCATGCATTTCATATTCTCTTAAGTGAAAACTGCATAAGTTTCCGCAGAAAAAAATTTTTTATTTTTCATTTTGCAGGAAGAAAAAAATTAGTGGAATTCATTTCCATTTACGCTCGCTGTTTCAATTTTTTATCTCAATTCTTGGTAATATGGAACAAATATATCTTTGAAAACACAAAAAGAAATACTTGCAAATTGTATAAGGACCAAGAATTTCAGCATTGCCATCCATTATATTTAAATCATCATCAGAATATTCTGTACAAATATTTTTTTGCCACTGGTGAGAAATATTGCAACTATTGACGCATCTATTCTGGATGTTAGAAAATCGATCATAAATGCATGAAAATATTGTGTCAACTTCTAAAAATTTAGCAGCATCGTCATAGTCGAGATCGTAAGGTCATTGTTTTTAATAATTGAAACTTCAGAGAATAAATTAATGCTTCTTGGGAATTTGAGTAATACTCTCAAGCGAATTAAGCGAATTTTAATCACTTTTCAATAAATGTTGTCTAGATAATAATTCGAATAAATGCGAAAATTAATACTATTTTTTATTTTATTGCGTTCTTTTTTACTGCAAAATGGTTGAATAAAAGAAGCAGAAGCATGTACTAATGAGCCTTCGCATATATTTTGAGATGAGCAGTTGTACAAAAATTGGCTGAAAATTCAAAAAATGTTAATTATAGAGGAACATTTGAAATAATAACCAGTTTCCTATATTCTTCGATAACCTGTGTTCAGAACCGAATGCATTCAAATAAATACTCTTTTGTGTTCATTTGGCAGAATGCACTATTATCTCTTCCTTGCTGTTTAAATGACCAAATAATAAATAGTAAATAATAATGATAATTGATGAAATGTTGTCGTAGTAACAACAAAAAGGAATAAAGGTTGATGAAGAATTAATTCAGTTGGGTGAAAAGCGAAAGAGCATTAATTTGTCCAGAAGAAAAATTCAAGTTTTCCACGAAAATGAGAAAATAGAATGAAAGAAACGACGCAAATCCAGTTTTATAAAATTATTATAAATTAAGACCTGCAGAAACCATTTTGGTCTAATAATAAGGTTTCCAAAAGTTCGAACAACAATCTACCACTTTTTGCAATTTGAACAAAACAATGCCGTAAACATGCAAATGATGACTGAAACGATTCATAAGCCTTCGTGCGCCAAATATCTAAAAAGTTTACGAAATAAAGTCGATGAACTGACATATACCGCTAAGACTAAGATCAAGCCACAGCTATCATATCTGATTGAATTAAATGTTTGATTTAATACCTGGAAGTTTTATAGAAGGTATAATGGGTAATCTAGTAGTTTTTTCTTATAAAACATACCATTTCACTCCACTGACTATTATTAGGATGATAAATCCTTTCCCCAAAGAGTCAATTAGGTCCAGAAATACAAGTGAAACTCCGGTATTGTCCGGATTTCACTTTTAGCTATAGGCTTACTTCAGAAGGGTGAGCCATGATGTTTTATAATAATAATCTAATATACATTCAGCCACACCACCCCAGATTCAGTTTATAATAATTAGAAAGAAGTTGACGATTACCAAAGATCTCATGAAAATATTCGGTGAAATTTGCGCAATTAGCGTTTATCAATAATAGCAACACATAGTTGAATAACACAGGATTCTTTACGATCATAGTTCTAAAATAAAGTAAAGCTTATAATCCTAGAAGAACTGCAGTTATTTATAATGCTATTGCAATGCGTATTATAGTTCATCTTGGCTGAACTAACAAATTTTTAGAGATAAGAAATAAAATTTTAATTCGTTTATTTTCCTTAAAATTTTGAATATTTCACTACACACTGTAGTGGTACTTGCATCAGATTTCTTCAAAAATTCAATCTATCAAAATTCAATCTTTCTTTTTAAAAGGATTTAATCCTAAAAAACAAAAGTTTTCCAAAACAAAAAATTTTGGTAAAAATTATCAATTAAATCAAAATAAAAAAGGACACAGATCAAGATACGAAGATTTGTAGTGAATAGAAGATAGAAATTATATTTTTCGTTGCAAAATTTTGTTTTTTGGTAATTTGTTGACGTGGAAAACAATCTTCCAAAAAATAGCTGGGGGCTTCCATACTTTATGAATATATTATGAATATATTAAACTTATTTCCATAGTATTTCAATACTTAAACGACATTAATATATGTGAATGTTAGCATCTAAAGAAAAATTTCGATAATAAAAGAAGCAAATTGGCTGTTCTACCGTTTTACCGGAAAGATAAAAAGTTGAAAATGACCTAATAAATAATGAGTGCTTTTTATAATAGTAACAAAAACATTTTTTTAGAAGATATTTACTTTTTGACACGAACTAGATTGGATTTTGTTACGAAGAAGATGGAGGCAAGAAGGTTGAGTGGTATGTTGCATGGACTGAGGGCTAAGCTACAGATGTCACGGATTGGTTATCTCTTGATGAGAGTAAGCCTATTATAAAAGATGAAAATCGATCTGCTGCTCTTTGAAATCTCTAAGTTATTCTTTGAAATGGTGGTCCAGATTTCGCTCATAGGCCCTTATAGTCAGTGAAATATAGTAGCAGAAACAACAATTATAGCAGAATCGCAGCTACAAAATATCATCAATACAATACGTCAGTACATCTATAAGTATATAATTAATCTGTGATTTATCGGCAGAGAGAAATTTTCCACTCATGGACCAACCAAATCCGTTAAACATTCTAAAAACCATGGCCAGATTTCGTTCATAGGGAATCGTAATAATTCTCAGATTTCTTTTTCATCAAGGAAATTTTATGATATAAATAAATAGCATGTAGCGTGTCTAATTCCCATCAATTTTTATTAAGTTCATGAAATTATCTGTTCGTTATAGTCTTTTTTCTAGTTTTTACACGAATGAAATTTACCGAGCCGCATCTTATCGAACACGAATATATTCTGAATTCCCTTCTCTTATCTCATTTTGCCGATTTGAACCTCTCTTACGAAAATTTTTTTATTGACATTTGCATCAGCTACTGCAAAAAAGCAGATTCGTTAAACTTACCCACATATAGTATCAAAAATCTCTCAAATGGTATGAGATTTATTTAATTTTGTGTTTTATATAATTTGCGCATCCAGAAACTTTGTTTGTGGACAGAATTTTAACCAAAAAATTCATAAAATAGTTGGTCAAAACAAATCAGTTAAAATTCACTTAAGCAATCAGTAAAATAATTTTTTATCAGGAATAATCGGCTAAAATTTGTATGAGACTGTAATTAAGGTTCAGTATTTTCTGAAAATTTGCGTTATCTTAAATGTGTAAGATAAGTGAATTTCGTTTTCAGTTTGGTTTCATCCACGAATGTATGCGACAAATGATAATTCGAAATTATGGCGCAAAAGCTTGGACGAGTATCTTGTGAGTTGCTAGAAAATAAGTCCATTCGTCTGCACTATTTTTACTGAAAAGGGAAAAATTAAATTGTTGAAAATTTCTTGATTTGCTTTATAGGCGTCGAGCAGGCTTTTCTATCACTGATGAAAATATCGTGAATCTATATTATTCGGATTCTTCCACGTTTGCGATTGTCGATGCAATTTGTGCAGAAGAAATAGGTTAGTCTGAACAGATTACTATTACCATTATTGTATCGACTTTTTCTTCAAAAATTATTGATTCAAATTCAAAAATTATTTATTGACCTGGCAAATTTTTCTTTCGTTAAAAAAGTTCAGTAATATTCAGTCATCTCTTTTATCCGAAGTATTTTTTAAAAAAACAAACTTTCAACCTTTCAACCTTTTTACAATTCAAGTCAATTTTTTACAAGATTTAGTGAAATTGCCATGCATTTGAAATTCTTCAATTTTCCTGACTCTGACAGCATTTAAATTAAAATTGTCATTTAAAAATCCTAATTTTTTAAATTTCGAAGTGGTTTTTTAAGCAAATTCATCAACAGAAGTATGGGAAATGTATGGAAAGTTCCATATAGAATATATTATCGAAATTGGATGGGAGGAACTTGTTCAAACAATCAGTCCAGACTTACGAGTAAAATTTTTGTCACAAATATCTTTCATATAATCCTAGATTATAATTATGCTACGTTAGCGCCAGCTTTGAAAATCATCCTTTCAGACTATCAATTTTGATTGATCCATCGATTCCGAATTTAATAATCTGCAAAAAATGAGTGCTACGAAAACGATCATTCGACATTTAGAAACCATTTCCACCATTAATTTTTCGTCGATTAATTTTGCGATCTTTTTTTAAGGGTCTTCTGAATAATATCGATTCTTTACATTACTTTATTAGCCGCATTATTTACAAGTCAGAATGGAAATGTCCTTCATTTCACTGTGAACAGAACAAGGATGGTTCTTTAACACTTGATTATCGTACATATCGAAATGGCATTTATCCGACAGTTAAAGGTTTTAATTGAGGCTTTTTTTTTCTGTGGGAGAATCCAGATTAAAACTTTGCCATAACTGTATTGTCTAATAGTTATTTCTGGTTTCGGTGGTTCCACTGTACAATAAGACGAGGCTTCTTCGTTAGAGAATCATTTGGATGCAGATGCATCAAGTACCAAGTATAAGTCTTATGATTTCAAAAAAAAAAAATCTTTATTTTGGTTCTTCATAACTTTTATTCTGGCCCACTTAATTATAAATTAGCTGTCTAAAATTTTTATTTGGTCATAAAATTATAAAATTTATTTAATTTTTATTTGATTTTAAGGTATGATACAAATGCTGTGCAAAAGAATTTTCGATCAAGAAATTGTAATAACAGTGGATAATATAAATAATCGAACTGTTGAGATCGATTCACTTGAAGTAAATGAACAACACGTTACCTTCTTAATTAATGTAAGTGCTCAATATCATTAAAAAAACCATTGTTTTAAATAAATTGTATAAATTTTGCTTTTTCTCAGTTTGTCGAGGTTTGCTCAAGTGGACGTCTCTTGAAATCGGATCTTTTATCACTGGCTGATTGCCAAGACACAAGTGAAGATCAATTGGTAGGTCGTTCAGCACACTTGTCTCAATATGATTTCGTCGTAATTTTTCCATATCATCTGCTCTTTGATAAAGATTGTAAACTTTTACAAGTGGGAAAAGAGCTCTAGTACGTTTCTTTAAATTTTTGTTTATGTTTATTTATATGTAGAATGCAATGTCTTTCTTGCCTAAATAATGTTATAAATTATTAAATTTTTCTAATATAAGGAAAAGTATGAAAAAGAAAGTAAATAAGTGCTTGCTTATCAGTTCTCGCTGCTAATACGGTTAAAAATTTTTAGCAAGAACTATCTTAGACAGAAGTGGAGTTGAGTCGCAAGCCGGATTTTAATTTTACTCCTTTTTTTAACGGATTTTGAGGAGATCTGCTTCTAATCTGCTTCTAAGTTAATTTGAGCAATAAACCACTTAGTTAACTAGAAAAAATATGCATTCATATTATATGTTTGATTATGTTTTATTACTTTTCAAATTTCAAATTTTTAGCATCGTAACAAATTGTTTGTAGTAATCACATATGCCGTGATCTCCTCGAAATAGGGACGCCTTTAACTCAGATTTTTCAAATAGTCGTTCCTCGTATCATATTCGATTTTGAAAATATATGCATATTCAGGGATTCTATTTTTGTGCTTGAGATTAAAGATGCGAAATTTTCGCAAGGACAAATTTTTGGTAGTGGCAATGTGTAAGTTTTTATCAATTGCCAGCTTTAGGCATAATGATGAGTGGAACAAATTAGACTATTGCTTATGACTATCATGCTTATAACTTTACTTTGCTGAAAAACAAGACTTGAATTAATAAATTTTTCCAGTGAGCATCAACGATCATTCGTCTCATTTGGCAGAAATTTGGGGCTTAAAGGACAAATGATTCCATTAGATGATAACAATCAAATGCTCTTTCTCTGTTCACCTCTAATAACCACGATTCCTGATCTTCTAGAATTTGGAATGAGATTAACTGCAATGCCGTTACATGATGCAAATCGTGATCTTATCTTGCTGAACCAACAGCGTATTTCTGATGAGGAAATGAAGTAAAATAAGAATATCTACATTGATATATAGACCTTGAGATCCACATCATTATATTTTAAGACTCAATTTTTGGTTCTTTCTTCAGCTTGCCATGGTAAAAGTACCCAAGAATGCATCGTATCGCACCAGTGATGCAGAAATTTTGATAAATTGTCGATGCTAAATGGATAAAAGTTAGTGAAAGGATATCAAATATTTTCGGTATTTATTTATTTTAGCAAACAACTTCAAGAAAACAATGCGCAATTAGAAGGCTTAGCGAGAGATCTAGAAGCAGAGAAGGGAAAAACGGAAGAATTATTGAAAGAAATGTTGCCAGCTTCAGTTGCTACTCAACTTCTACATGGAAAATCCGTCGATGCTTGTTAGATATCTTGCTGATTTTTTTCACAAAATTCATTATGATTTAAAGAAGTCATCCTCTAAGGAAATACGAATACCTTGCTATACAATTTTTCATAATGAATATAATATGTAACAAATCTCGAAAAAAAGCTAAATAAACTTGATGGCAGTCAACTCTTATTCAAAAAAACTGATCCGACCAAAGAAGCAAGAAGTTTAATATTATAATCCTCGCATCCAGACAATTTATTATCGTTGTTTTTATCATTCAACTTGAAAATTAAATATATTATTAAGGTGAGTTCAATGAAGCCACGGTGATGTTCAGTGATGTACCGAATTTCAATAATATTGTACCAAACTGTGAGCCAAAAGAAATAGTTGCCCTTCTTAACGATCTTTTTACGAAATTTGATCGACTCGTTGTACGACATGGGGTAATTAAGTTGAATTGCTCGATATCGATCAGGCTAATGTTTAAACATGGAAAAATATAGTAAGGAGGAATGAGGCGAGAAATTTATGTTTACTCAAATTTACAGCATTTCTTCTCGTCTTGTTAGAAATAGGAATAGAAATGTTTTCGGATAAATCGGTAATTCAGCGATAGTAGTTAATCTGCATTAGCACAATATTTATTGTTACAATATATTAGTGCAATATTTCGATTGATCAAGAATCATTTATCTCTATTGATGGGATTAAAGATGAAATCCGTTGAAGAGATGAAATTGCCTAGAGGTGCATCCTATCCAGAAATGTCTTTCTGCAGTAAGATTTTCGCTTTAATAGTGAGGTCAGTCAAGCCGCAAAGTGTAGAAGTTTAATAAACGATCCTTCGAAATTATCATATACTTTGTTATATAGTAATGCAATTCAGGCATATAAAGTGGAAACTGTTGGCGATAGCTATATGACAGTTGGTGGAGTACCGGAGATTCGATTGGACCATTGTGAAATCATTTGTGATTTAGCATTGGGCATGCTTTGGGAATCGCATTCCGTAACAGATCCGATAAAGAACGCACCTTTACAAATACGAATTGGAATACATTCGGGAACAGTTGTTGCCGGAGTAATAGGAAATAAAATGCCGAGGTTATTCTGATATTTAAATATTGCTCACCAACTTTTTTCAATTTTTTTTCTGCCTATTCTCGAAAAATTATAAAAACCAGTAACATTCGCGATAATAGCTGATATGGATTATGATATCAAATCAAATGCTAATTGAATCAAACCATCGGAGAACAATAATTTACAAAGGGTATATCGTAATCAAACAATTTTTTCTATTTTGTATTTCTATTTTTTTCTATTTTAGACAGTGTTTTTTAAAAATGACCACAAAAAAATTATTCAAAAAGCAGTGCATACGTGATCCTAATGATCCTTTTTCATGTGAAAATACAAAAAACAAAAAAAATACAACAAACAAAACAAAAAACAAAATACAAAAAAGGGTTTATTAATAAATGGCCACAATTTTTTTCATAATATTAACATTTGTTTATAGATACTGCCTCTTTGGTGATACAGTGAACACTGCCTCTAGAATGGAAAGTCACAGCGTACCAGGAAGGATCCATTGCACCAGAGAAGCAGTGGAGTTAGTTTCATATTCGTCTTTGTAAATATCCTGGTTTTCTCTTAGATATATATTAAAAAATCCTTTTCTCATTCTTTGTGAGTATTAAGGGTCATCCTCAATCTCTACTAGAGTTTGGGAGATTGAGAGTTCTACGCAATATTTTGTTCGTTGTTAGCAATGCGCTCTTCTGGGCTCTGCTATTCCTGCTGAAGTCTGCTGAATCTGCTGAAGTCATTTTTCCAGTTTAGGGAACACAGTTATTACTGCTCAATTATCAGAGGAGCTATGAAATTTTATAATTTTACAAGTGATTGGAAAAAGCAAAACTAAAAGGCAGCACCGAAATATTGATCATAGCAACATAGGAACAGATACTAAGTGCTAGATCCATCGAATTAAGAATCTACGCCATCAGATAGCATTGCATATTGTGCAAAAATACCCTAGAAAAAATCCAACATATACTGGCAGGATGTAAAACGCAAACAGAAACAGAGTACACTGAAAGGCATAACCAAGTAACTGTTGTGGAGGAATAAGTTGAGGGAGAATGAATTGACGAAGTTTAAGTAGTAAAGTTTAAGTAGTCAAGAGGTAAAACTGGTGAGATTTAACTCGGGAAAGATGTGGTTCTTTAGTTTAAGATCCATTGATTTATCGTTGTACCCAAACAGGCTAAGGTATTTTTTATTTTTATTATAAATCATAAATTATAAAGGTTCAACATTAAATGAGTAAAAATTAAAAATTATTATAAATTATTTAAGAAAAGTAAAATAAGGAAACAAAGTAGATTCGAAAATGAGCCTATTATATATATATATATATATATATATAGTTTTTATTTGCATTAAAAAACATTTTAATGGGAATGGCATGCAACGAATATTTAACAAATATGTACAAAATGACAATATGTACATGTACAAACTATAGTTATCTGATTAAAGCCTTAATAGATATGAGATTCAAGATAAGAGATTTCGCACGCTTAATTAGTTTTTTAGCTATACAAAAAAAGGAAATGGAATCTTGCTTAATCAAGATAATAAAAAAAGGTATGAAAAAATTATTGTAAGAATTTGAGATTATTAAGTTGATTCATAGATTTATTTATTTATTTATTTTATATTTATTTTTTTGTTCGCTATTCACGACAGTAACTAACATTATCTACAGGAATATATTTGGCTTGAACTTTTCGTTAGCACTGCCTTATAGGACTTCTCCATCCAAAGAGACGTAATGGCAAATCAACCAGATATCGTGGTAGTAGATAAGAATCAAAAATCAGAGCACTTGCGATAAATTTTGTAATATCAAATAACACGAACATTATGGAGAACAAATATGAAAAATTAGAGAAATATCATGGGCTGAAGAAGGAACTAGAGATGATATGAAAAGTGAAGGCCAAAATAATTCCAGTGGTAATTAGTGATAATCGGCATTATAATCCCTAAAGTACCTTCAACAAATTTTAGAAGCAATATCCAAGATCTTTAGAAGAACGTAATGCTAGGAACTACCGAGATATTGTGCGAGCCCTCAATCTCCTAGACCTGTAGTTGGAAACTCCAGATTGGGGATGGCCCTTACAAGCCATAGGGGATGAGAAAGGGGTTTTTATTTGCATATTATATGTATATATATATATATATATATATATATATAGGGTTTTATTTTACAAACTGAGGAGATGAAAATTTTTGGAATCCTTTTTATTTGAATTCTACTGAAAACTTTTGATAATGATACGTGTTGATTTGAATTCGTGATATGTAAGGCAATTTACTGATATTTTCTAAAGTACTTTATTTGAATAGAATGCTTTACAAAATTAGCACTCATAAATCACAATCGCAAACCTGAAATTCGTAAAATATAGTGAGAACGAGGGTCCTTGAACATCTGAGAAATCTTCGTAAAATCCAATCTTATATGTGTACCTATATTTTAGCTATGCACAGCGAAATGGTCAACATTTCCAATTCATTATGCGAGGAAAAATACAAGTGAAAGGAAAAGGTTTAATGAATACCTATTTTCTGAAATCGAATAATAAGAAAACTATCTGGGAGATTATTGGAAGAGAAAAAGGTAAAATTGTTTTCCTGGTGTGTTACCAGTTTCGTCCGAATCAAATAATAAAATAATCCTAAATATTAACTTTTTTATTTTACTCGATAAAATCCCATTTATATCCTATTGACTGGTGAAACTTCATCCTTCAAATATTTAATATTATTTAGTAAAAAAAGTTGGCAGCAATCGCCACTTCTAGTTATGCTCATTCTGCTAGCTATGAAAACGGAGTCAGCGAGATAGTTGGTGATAAAAGTGTAGGTGAATTGGATTTTTTAATGGCAGATTTACTGCTGTCGGAATTAGGAATTAGATTAAATAAATAAATAGCCAAATCGTCGTCTTTTAGCTCTATAATCTGAATTACTTATGACCCTGCTGACCACCCCGTCCCATTTGCTATTAAAATTTAATAAATACTGATTCCTTTAGATATTTATAGGCTATTTTGCAATATTTAGGTAAGTCAAATGTCGAGGACTGTTATGCTGAATTGACGCACGGAATCGAAAATGACATAGTGGTAGTTAAAAAGGCAAAAAGCAAAGTGTGCACGGTTTTATAACAATTTTGATTACAAATGAAATGATCGTATTTGTGATAAATTAATTTTAATTCGCACTCTCGCCTTCGTATTCGATTGTCAAACCGATGGTTGAAGAAAACAGAAGGAAAGTATGTAAATCGTACAAATGTAAATGTCGCATAACCGACAGAATCCTTTTTGTCGAAAAATTCTCTATGCTTATTTTTTGTCTTTTCTCCAGTCTGATTTCCAGAGGTTTTTGTCGCGAGGAGGTCGTCTCATACCAGCAAACACCTCATCAATGTATTTCTCCTTTCTTATAATTCCTAGTTTTTTAAAATTATTTACATAAGGAAAAACGAAGAGCCATTTTTTGATGGATTTTATGCGTTATACAATTTATTTTATTACTTGCAGATGCTTTATATTCTCATTCTAGTGAATTACAATTTATTACAGTTGTTTTCAGATTAACTGGAAATTTACTGCATGAATTGGCATTTAAGAAATTGCGATTTACTAAGGCCAAAGAAATTTTTAGATTTGAAACATCAATTCTAACAGTCCAACTGATAAATACTGTTAAATTGGGAAACAGGTGGGTTAGACCTGCATATCAGTTGACCCTTCTTTTTTCTTTCTTTGCAACTTGATCATCATGGTTTTTCGGGCTAATGTTTAATATTCTTTACATTATTAGTAGGTATTAACATATTCGATCACCTGAAATAATTTTCAGTTTAACATTTTAAAATTTCTAAAACTAAGTCAAATAGGCGTTCACTATTTCTAGTTATGCCCATCCCACTGAGTGTTAATAGGAAACTGTTAGTAGACTGCTAGTTTTACAGTTTTGCTACCGCTCTGTGACGGAATTAGAAAAGCCGAGTTCGCGACACCCCACTAAGTTTGCAGGGTTATTGCATTAAACAAGGTAAAATGAGTCAATCTGTTCTTCGAGTATTTAATACAATAAATCGATCCTGGCTCCTAAAGGAATTGGGAAATGTTCACTGGAAATGTTCAACAACAAAATGAAAATATATTCGCTATGATTCTATCTTCCTTGAAAAAAAAACACTGATTAGGGAGACTCAAAAACACTAAATATTGGCCATACAAATACGATTCACCGGCGTATCAAACAGCTGCCAATTTCATTTCTTATTTTCAGACTACTCGCACAAAATCGTTCAAAATCGTCCTTTTGTCTTCATTTATCTACCGCCCATCCACGATTTCTCCATTTTTATTTTATCATTTCCTACCAAATACATTGAAAACAACGGATAACATCGATCTGCTATTTTTTAACATTACTAGTTGGCAAGCAATAAAACAACTTGATTTTTATAATAACCGGCGATTTTACCCGTTCTATTCCTTTCAATTAAATCACGAAATTCGGTGAATAATGGTGATTTGAAAGCAAAACAATTCTTTTAATCTTTTAATAGAAAATAAACCTTTTAATCACTCAAAACCACATTGATCTCTTAAATACAGGACAAGCACAATTATCAGTTACTTTATTCTAAACAACCTGCATGGTTCCATTCTTGCCAAAATTTTTGTTAAAATACGCAATACAAGCAATAAAATGAAATAATGAAATGACGAATAGTTGAAATTGAATAAATCAATCGATGTTGAAGAATATATTTCGACCAAAGATAAAAATATTTTAAAAAATACGACGTAAATTAAATAAATAGCGACTAATATCAACAGAAAAGCAAAAAATAAATCAAAGAACGATGAAAAAATGAATTATCCTACAAATCAATTAATCAAATGTTTATGATGATAACTCAACCTAATCCTGTTATTTTCTCATAGTCAAAAAAATGATATCAAAGCAAATGCAATTTCTGATAACCACGGTATTGAAAGGACAAAGAAAGAGAAAACAGGGAAAAAATAAATATAGCTATAAATTATCAACAAAAAATTCGAATGGCTGACTCATAGCGATACGAAAACTTTGACGACTTGATGTCAAATCCTGAGGAACTTCGTCAAGACGATTTTGTTTTTGAATACCCATGGATTGCGGAACTGCTGCCAAAGATAAGGATGTACCCTTTTGATGTGAAATAGCCGAAACTGGAGCTGGGGGTAGAACAGCACGACCTCTAAAAACATTGATTCAATTAATTTTCTTTTATTGACTAATATCTGTAGCTCTTTGAAAAATGATAGAATGATAGGACCATGGATTAACATCACGAAAATATAAGCAATTTTTAAAATGAAAGAGCAACCCCCGTCTTTTTTCACTTCCACTCGATCCATCATTGCTACTAGTCTGACTATGCACATCGGGAGCTCCACCACCTTTATATAAGGCGTTGGCAGTAGGGACCATCATGGTTGGATTAAACTGTTGAACTGGCTGACCCGGATAGGGGATAACTGGCATTGATGCATATCCGCTAACCTGAAAAATTTTTTTTTCTGAAATGAAAGAAAATGAAAAGATTATAACCTCCAACAAGAAAAATGAAATATGTGTTAAAGAAAACTTCTAAGCTCTAATTTTTTCTTAATTTACTCGTAGCACAATTAATTAACCTCAAATGAATTTGAATCATTCATAATAATGTCAGAGGTATCACCACAGAAAATGATTATTGAAATGATTAATTTATGATGAAATATATAGGTAGAATTACCATCAATATAACCCTAGTACTGTTAGAATATATCGAAATAAAATAAAAAAAAAAAAATTCATATCAAATTCATAAAACGATTTAAAGGTCCTTAGCTACAATAAAAAATTCCTATTCATACAAGAAAAGATTTATATAACACTAAAGTTTCAGTGGTGCATACCAATGAAGGTGTGCTTTGTGGTAATACTGTTGGTTGTGGCCAGGATCGTCCCACTTGCTGGGTTGCAGCTATCAATCCAGGTGGAGGCGGTAAAACAGAATTAATTTCATTCTTCATTCCTTGTTCTTCTGGCATCAAGTTTTGCCTTAACCGTACAAAATCTAGAATTTCACTTAATTATTCGGAAGCCACAGTTTTATTGGAATACCATAGTTACATACCCTTCCATTTCCGCAAATAAATTTTAGGCATATATTTTTAAATCATTTCAACTTGCAAAAATTTTTGTTTTTACAAATTTAGCAAAAATTCTCGGGGTCAAATAAAAATATTTTCATAAAAAATTTTAATTTGAAAATCGTAGTCTTATTGGAATAATAATCTTTTAGATAACTCATACATACACACTAAAATTATGTGGAAACAAAAAGTGATTTATGACTTTTCACGCATAATATTATATAATAATATAATATAATTAATTTGACATAACATTAAATCATCACTAATTGTTAAAACCTTTACATATATATACGAAAGGTCGTTTCATGAATGACAAATATGACTATACAAATCTATCGAAAGCAGCACGGCGGGACAAAAGTCCTATTGGAGGCCTCAAGAATGGAGGCGGCGGCTCGAATGGAGGCGATAATAGGAAACAATTCCGCCTTCTTCATAAAGCAACTATAATTTGGGAAAAGATCAATGAAATGGTAAGGGACAGCAATGGCGTGCCAGTTAAAAGTATTAAGGACCGCCTCATAAGATGGAAAGAATTCTTTAAGGCCAAACTTAACCATGATGCGCCATCTGTTTCCCCTGATATAACGTTCCCAGAACCATAAACCATATCCTTGCAACTGCGATCCGCCGACAGAAGAAGAAATAATATCTGTTATCCATAAGCTTAAGACCAATAAAACTCCAGGAGAAGATGGTCTTCAGGCTAAGCTTTTCAAATGCTATCCATCATTCTTCAAAACGCACCTTCAACAAATGTACTCTTTAGTATAGAAAAAAGAAATATTACCAGATGAATGGAGCAATTCTGCTCCCAATTCTCAAGAAAGGTGATAGGACAGACTGCTACAATTATCGAGGAATCAGCCTACTAGACGTCTCAGCAAAAATTTTTGCTTCCCTTCTACTCAACAGACTTATGGAAGTACGAGACAGCATGAAACGCCCTAATCAAGCTGGATTCAAACAGGGGCGAGGTTGTGCTGACCAGATATTCACGTTAAGAAGGGTGTTGGAACATCGCTTCAGATATATTTGCAACCCATTGTCACGTGTTTCATCGACTTTACGGCCGCCTTTGATAGAGCGGTGCTTTGGGTGGTGGAACACTACGGTGTTCCAGAGAAAATCATTAGACTCATAAAGGCATTTTATGAGTGCACGTCGGCGCAGATCTGTGTATATGGGGAGCTGACAGATTCCTTCGAAATAAGAACAGGTGTCCGTCAGGGCTGCGTCTTTTCCCCCTAAATATTCAACTGTGAGATAGACTGGATAATGGACATTGCTTGTCGGCATTCAAGAGGTGTTCAAATTAGTCCAGAGCATCGTATCACAGATCTTGAATACGCTGATGATGTAGTCCTTTTTGCTGAGAGTTATAACGAAATGCAAGTAATACTTAATAACGTATCAGAAACTACAGCAAGAATCGGACTCAGGATAAATATAAATAAAACAAAAGTCTTTTCGTCTGATGTACAAGAAGCTGATAAAATGCCTTTTTTTGTAAATTCATTGCCGGTTGAGGAAGTGCCCGATTTCAAATACCTTGGGTCCACTCTAATACCAAATGGACACGCAAAAGATGATATTACAACTCGGATCACGGCAGCTAGAAATGATTCTTCCGGTTGACGAAATCTTTATAGAATCGTCGTGAAATCACCATAAAAACGAAAGACCGCATCTATATAGCTGCGATCCGTTCGATCTTACAATATAGTTATGAGACATGGCCAATGAGAATGGAGGATATTAAGAAGTTATCTGCCTTTGACCACTCTTGTCTAAGATATTTTTACGGATTCGTCGAGCGGATAAAATATCGCATGATCGCATTCATCTTCGTTCAAATACATTTTGCTATTAATGTATTACTTGCATTAATAATGTTATTACAAAGCGTCGCTTTCGATGATTAGGGCACATTCTCCGTCGTCCAGCACAGGAGTTGACGCATATTTCGTTACTTGCCGAATCCTGCAATGGTTGGCGTCAAAAGCGAGATGGGCCAATCAAGACCTGGACTGATGCGGTCAGAAAAGATTTTGAACGTGTAGGTGGACCAGCATTATATGGACTTAGACGATGGAAAAAGGAATGGCTTCCATTACTGTCGATGATGGCATCAGAACGCGCCGCTTAGAAGCGTCTTACCCTTGTAGCCGTTGGAGTAATGATGAGAGCTGTTAGAAGAAGAATACAAGTCTACCTGAAGGTCTAGTCAGGTGATAAGTGATTTGCTTAAAACTCGTAACACAAAAATTTCTCCAGCATCAATAGAAATAGGCGATATATCGCCATTTTAGGAAACAGTGATCTTATGCCTAAAATTATTGAATTAAATAAATAAACAATATTCAAATGTGGCAATTACCAGTGCATTCTTCTCCCAGAATATAATAACACTGTTCGGTGAAAGTTATTTTGTTTACAACATGACTAATGAGTTTTTCTTTGAGCAATTCACCAGCAAATTTTCTACCATCTTTACGGTCTCGTAAACCATCCACATGTTCCATTAACCAATCCACTAAATCGCTTCCTATAAAATTTATCAGCTACCTGAATTTAACAAATTTGGTATTTTTAGGGTATTTATTTATAATATAATTTATAATGTATTAGTATATTATGTATATATTATATATTATGTATGTGTTGTTATATATTATGTATATGTTTAAATTTTTTAAAAATGAAAAAATTTATCAGCAATGATATTTTAAATGACCGAAAAAAATAGAGAATTTGAAATTTTTATTTCACCAGCAAACTCTACCATCTTTTATTTCTGTAACAACAAAAACCAATATTTAACCACTATTTTAAAAATTATCTAAAAGATGTGGAAATTTCTGAACCTAAGAAAGACATTGGGATGGGGATTTTTAGCCACGTTCGATTTTTTATATCGAGCCCGGAATTCGGCATCACCATCATTTGGACGATTTTTTTCTTGTCACTAGTAATATCCAAACGAACATGAGCTAAAAATGGATATTATGCAAATTTGCAAAAAATGTTTGAAATTAAATTGAATTGAAATACTGAAAATATTTGAAATTAAAAAATATGAAAGTCCTACCTCCACCGACAATTGTACTTGGACCTGAACCATTTGACGTTGCTGTGCTACTACTTGCGGCATGACCATAATGCCCAGGTACTGGAGTTGGTGCACCTTCTGATCCTTAATATAAAAAAGTAAAGACCAAAAATCAATGATTCTTCTTAAAGAATTGAATCGCATATTACATTTAATATTTATTCCAGTGAAATAATTTTCAACCTTCAAGAATCGATGGCATTCCCCTCATTGCATTAGTATGTTGAATCCACGCCTGTGTATCGATCGGTCTCACCGGTTCATCTCTATGCCTCGGCACTGTAAATGCACTTCTTGGTCCCCCATCCCACATTTTCGCAACTGTCAATTTTATTGGCCTTAAATTATAAATGGGACTTTCCTATGTGAGGAAGTGGAAAAAAAATTTATTATCAATTTAAAAATGGTTAAAGATCTAAAATGGTTAAAGACTAAATAATGATTTGATAGATTCTAAGCAATATCTTGTAGCTCGTGGAGATTGAACAAAATAGTAATAATCAGTCGCAAGAGAAAAAAAAAACGCGCGAATATCCATTGAATAATTTTCTAAATTTATTTTATTATATTAATTAGTAAAAGAAGAGCAAAATGCATACCCTCGCCTTGCCACAGATTCTCGTAACACGTCTACCGCTTGATCATTGGTAAAATTTTCGAATGAAATATCATTAACTTGAAGAATCATATCTCCAGGCTCAATACGACCGTCCAAAGCCACTGCGCCTCCTATATAATATAAAATTTAATTAGAAAAAATAACATTATTTTTAGAATTATTAGACGTATTTTATGAAGGAAAAAAATCCTTGCCTTTCATGATATTAGCCACATAAATGCCATTATCTCCACGAGATGAACTCTGACCTACGATACTTATCCCCAGAAAGTTCACAGTATCCATATTAAGTGTGACAGTTATCACATCAAGAGACATAGAGCTTTCTGTGATACTGCTGAATGATGAAGCTCGTGATGGTTGCCGGAATCTGCGACGATTGCGCCTTTTTCGATAAGCATTTGCGTGATGTTGACGAGACACACTTGTGATGTCAGTAGATGTTGATACACTAAAAACTTGATCAATCATGTAAAGAAAGATTTTCCACTCGCAATAAAGCGTGATTAACGGAAAAAAATCGAACCGTGACCGATCATCGTCATCGGAGAATATTCGAGCATCACTTTCTGATCCAAGAGTTGAATCCTCAAAACGACGGCCACGATGACCTGCACGAAAGTAAGGAATGAAAAAATTATAAGAAATTAACCACAAATTAAAATTAAAAATTTTACGAAAAATTACCTTCAGTGTTTCCTCCAAAAAATTTTGAATTTTAGCAAATTTTAGTAACTTTTTTTACTAAAAAAGCTTTAAATCTGAGTTTTTCATCGAAGAAAAAAATTATAAGTTGTTCAATTATTCCACATTTCATTAAGAAAATTATTAATTTTAATAATTCTACGATCACTAATCACAATTGAAAGTAATTAATCGACCAACCAATTAAATAATATGATGCATTTGATGCACTTAATTCATTTATTAATGACAGATGTGACGTTTTACTAAGAAAAACAATTCGATGTTTCTTTATGATACTCGTTATCAGTTTCAATCAAATACGTTCGAATTATTCGCTGGATAGATAATGATACTGTCAACATTCTTTTACTTAATCTACCAATAGTTTTATTTTTATAACCGATTCGAAAATCAAAATTATAATAAAGTAATATGGAATTATCATTAATATATGGATTTGGTCGTTTGATTGCCGTTTAATTATATTAGATACGAGAGAATTTGCCTTCTGCATGGCATATCACTTAGTGATTGAATAGTTGAATAATAAAATAAAGAATTTAAGGGAAGACAAAAAACAATTCCTTTTGAAAAAATACGAATTTGGCTAGTTCTACTAAAAATCTTCTTTTCATTCTTTCCGCCAACGCTACCTCTGCTTCTGTGGTTCTTGCCGAAAATTTCTTCTTTTGCATCAGAAAGAACTGTTTCACAAAAGTAGACGAGATTAAATTCTTTCCTCATGATTTGCAAGTTCTCTTCCTATTTGCTACCGAATTTTTCATTCACTTTATTGTTTCCTAGATAATTTCCATGAACTTTTCTGTTTTCTGCCTCTGGTATTCATGCTTCCATTACAATTCGATCTGAAAAAATTTGAGGCATCGACCATTCTTCCAAGAATAATCCCTTTCATTATACAGCCGTTTCGTAGTGAGAACAAACCATTTTTCACCCGACGTGAATAGTCCCGATTCCTTAGCCGATCATATAGCCATATCATCACTCTAACTTATCATTACATAATGCAAGGATCTGTAATAAAACTTTTTTCATCGATTCGATCTCAATGATCGTTAAAATATTTTTATACTGCCGAAGGAAAAATTGCAATAGAAAAATAAAAATGGTGAAGTCACTGATTCATCAAATCACATTATAAAACAAAAAATAAAACTGAACTGCCTTTTCGATTAAAATTAATAAAAAACTCGTTGAAAAAGTAAATATTCTACATTCTTTAATTAATACTTTTAATATTAACTAATTAAAAATTAAAATTTTTCTAATGGAGAATAATTGCGAAAGAATCGAGAATGAATGATCAAATTAGATGTTGCTACAATAAAGAGGAAATAAATAATTCGCAACGACACTTAAATAAATCAATAACTGGACAAATTAACGATTTTAGAAAGAAGAGCGATATATTATAAGGATAACTGAAAGAAATGAAAGGACCACACATACGTTTCTTTGCTTCAATAGGAAATTAGAATAAACTATTGCAATGGTAGGTAAACACACAGAAAAGAGAAGTAAACAAACGAAAGACAAAAAAAATTAAATTTAAGCTGGAATACAACCCTTACAGTTGTGATCCTTAAAATTTAAAATTATGGATCATTAATTAAATTTTTCATTAGCAACAAAATTGACAAAAGTATGAACTGAATATCTTGACCCTCCCAACCTAGACCATAATCAAAATTTCGGCCGTGATATTTAATATAAGAGACAAAATATTACACTATATTCTCGAATTCTTTAACAAATTTTTATACCTTTAATAATATAAAATATATATATGAAAATATAAAACAAATCTCTGTACATAAATATAAATAAAATATAACCAAGCATAATTAAAAATAAATGAATGAATATCTATTAGAATCGTGAATAAAATTTCTCGGAATTGACTGTTTGAATTGATTGTTCTTAAAATCCTTTAAGAAATCTAGTTTCCAACTCCCATTCCAAAAACTATGAATTTTTGAATATTAAAAAATAAAAATCGATTAAATTCAGTATAATTTAGTTAATAAAGAAAAAAATAAATTTAATTGGGTTGAAAGAACCAAAAATAATGGTAGTATGAACCAAAAGCTTTATCTTGTTTAATTCATAATCATGAATCAGAGTGGTTTTATTCTGTGTAAATATGAACCGAAATGAACCAGAATATCAGCAAAATACATCCAGTTAGTCCAGTGAACTGAGGACTATGGGAATGCCATCCCATTATAAATGATTTATGAGTGCACAATTTTTTTTACAAATTAAGCCGTTATTTTATATTGTACAACCACAAAAAATACTAATAAGCTACAGCTCGTCAAAAAGCAAGTATAAAAAATTTAATTATTTAAACACTTGTAAAGTTTTAAAAGTTGATAAGTCTAGTGCAGCATGCTTATCAAGACCAAAAATTGTAAATCTCTAAAAAACTCAATAAAAAAAAGATATAAATATAAGAGAGGTATAAGAGATAGATATAAGAAAAACCAGTGAGCCAATAAGGTTCCTTTATTGAACATAAACAATAATCAAAATTGCTCACATACTTCTGTTTCAGAAAAATACACCAATAAAGGAACTACAACATCTACGCATCTAAAGAACCAAAAATTACAAAAAAATGAGAGATGATTAAAAGATAAGGGAAGAAAAAAACGACGCTATTTTAGAATGAATATGAATCTGAAAATAATTATAACAAGAAAAAAAAGCTTTCTCTATATTATCTGTATTATAATTAAGATTTATGAATATTTACTCAAAAAATTATTCACTCGTTTAATCGTTTTTGCTAATAAATTTTTTAGATGCTCAAAAAAAGAAATTGAAAACATGAAAATCAGTGGCATTATAAGTAACGCATTAAAAGATCTCAAAGTAAATATCAAATATTCGTTCAATCATTTTTCTATACCTAATTGTGTATCATTTTCTCAAATAAAAAGTAGATATTTATAAAAATATGGAAATTAACCAGAAATAACTGAATAAATTCATGAAACATAAATATGAAGCTCAAAAGATATAAACTACGAAATAAAAACTCTACGTAGAATAAGTTAGAAATATGTCGTAACATATCAAGCCCAATACGAAAAAATAATTTCGTAAGATAATTAAATCATTAAATTAAATCATTTCACCCAAAACATTCAAAATTTATAAAATCCATTTTCCTTTCGGTCTGCATATTTTATTCACATTCTTAAAACTACTTCTAAAACAGATGGAGAAAACATTGCAGACCATTTACTTTCGTAAAATCGTTTTAGTAATATGAGAAATTCAAAGAAAATTGAACCTTGAGGAAGAATATATTGCTGCTGAAAAGGTCGACGATTCAAAACTCCTTTCATTTGTATTGGCAAACCTCGCAAATCGCTAATCATTGACTCCGAATCAGTTGAAGCAACTGAAAAAGCAAAATCATACAAAACGAAAAATGCAACAAAAAATAAATTCATACAAAAATGAAAAAAAATCTAGGAAAAAAAAGTGAATATATAAGAAAATTTCCCATAAAACTTACTACTCTGATCATATTGTTGAACAGCTTGTCGATATGCTAGGCTTCCAACAGGATATAACGTGGGTGCAGGTCCAGGCACCTGTTAAAGAAAATTTGATATATCAAAATATTCTAGGAATAATCAAATAAATTTTAAAAGTTGCGAAAATATAAAATTAAAATGCAAAACATGCCATATATCGACCACATTTAAGCGGTAGGTTTGACGATCCATCTGAATGGCTACTTCCTTCTGCTGTCAACAAAAATAACTCAAACTGACCATTCGCTGATCGATGAAGTCGCTCATTGTCGTCTCGTATTTCGACTTTCACTTCGCTAAATTTCATAGAAAAATAAAAGTAGAAATTTAATCAATTATCCACTTAATTCGTTAAATTATAAAAAGATTTCACCGATGGAGAAAATAAATATAGATTTAAATCAAACTAAATAAAATAAAAATAGGGCAAAATGAAAAGCGAAAACAAACGGAAAAACACCAGAATCTGGTGCAGGTGCTTTGCAATAATATTTGAAATTTGAACGGGTGAGAATTCGTTTAAAATCACCAAGAGTGATTTTATCTGGATGAACTTGAACATCAGTGCAATAAGGTACTGTTTCATCATCAATATGATAGTAGACCTTGATAAATCAAAATCAGAAAATAACAATAATAGAAGCCCATCTTATAAGGTCATAAAAACTGAACCAAAATCGTCAAACTTACTATAAAAGAATCTGTTGGAGAGATTATCATTTCACATAATTTGCGTTCTTTTCCCCACCTTGCGATTGAATATTTTAAAAAAAAATATAAAATATCGGGGTGGCTTTCGCCACCAACCACCTTCTATCCCCAAATGAAATTTCTATCTTTATTAAATATTTCTATAATCTTTCTGGCAAATATTTCTATATTTCATCTTTCCTACCAATAGTTAACACAACGAGCCTGGTCGAAAGTGGGAAATACTAATCATCCTTCCTTTCTTCCTTAATTTATCGCAAAATCCTTACTTTTGTAGTACAAACAGAAGTTGCTGGTGTTGAAGCACTTGGCACTCTTTCGTTTTTATCAGCTATAATATTTTCAACTCGTTCGGTCGAGCCACTGCTTAAGCTCAACCTATATATATAAAAATCTCTATGAAATATTACATATATATTTTTTTATCCTAGTTGTTTGAGAGAAAAAATAATTGATTTAATTTAATTAAACAAAAAATGAAAAATTATTCTCATAAATAAAATAAACAATGAACTTTTTCATTAACCAATAAAATTTATTTTCAATTAAATGATTTGGTTGCCACCAGTAAAAATAAATCTCTACAAAACTACGACTATAACCTCAATAATGCAATAAAAATGAAATTACTTGCGATAAAAAGAAAATTTATTCCTTGGAATTTGAAAATTGAAATTTGTGAAAATTTGAAAAAAATTAGTTCTTTTCCCCACCTTCTGATAAATGTTTTAAACGAGCGAGTTTTTTCTTTAAAATATATTGAATATATTGTTAAGAAATATTGTTAAAAACACAAGGCAAAAAAAAATTTAAGAAAAAATGAAAACCTTGTAGTAGCGTCAATAATTGCATCTGCTGTAACTGATGCATCGCTTGAATTGATCATATTTAAATAATTTTATCCTTTAGCACCGTTAAAAAGAATATCTGAAAATTAGAAAAATGATAAAAGATTAAAAGACATAAATACTCAAAAAAAATCTCATTGATTTATATTTGATAAACTAAAAACAAATTAATGATGTGAGCATAAAAGCATAAGAATGGTGTCATTTTAATTATATGGAACCTTTATGGCTGACAAGTTACTATTCAATTCAGATTTAGTTTATACGGAAATAGATTTAATTATACTGGTACGAATTAAATTAGACACTCAAATATGACCAATTAGACTTGATTTACGAATTATTTAATGAAATTAATGCGAAATTTATTAACTCATCACTAAACAATAACAAAAAGAAAAAAATGAATTACAAATGCTACGCATAAGTGGCCCGCTGTAATGGTTCGGTTGAACGATGATCGATGGTTGATTTACTGTTCAAACTGCAGAAAACTAAAAAAAAACAATGATGCAATAACCAATTAGCTAACCAGTAGGAGAATTTTTGTCTTTTCATAATATTTTATCATTACAATTCCATCAAAATCGATAAAACTATCCTTCAATACAAATTTTACCTAAATTATGCTAAGCAAACTCTTTGTGCTCATAAAACTGAAATAAAAACAGGCAACTTTTAACCATTTGGACAAGGAGAAAAAGTACAATTTTTTCTTTTCTTACATCGTTTACCATTTCTAGTTTAATTGGCTATATTGACTTCAATCGTTTACTACATAATCATTTGAGATTACAAGTGATTTTGACTTTTAGTAACCAGGTTTACTTCCATCAAGATAAAGAGGGATTGTCAAAGATAAAACGATCCTAATAGGAGATATATTTTGAGCCAAATGTCCATCTAACTGAAGCATTTTTGAATATTTTTCCACTACTTTTCGAAAACAAAAACATTTACAAAGCGAACGAATGTTTAAATCAAATTTCAGAAAATTTAAATGAAAAGAAAAATATTAAAAAAATATTAAAAAAATGATAAAAATTTGCCCCTTAAAAAGTGAAGACAGTTTTTCTTCAAAGTTCATGGTTCATTCCACTAATAACAAACGTCTTTCGATCTAATTTTTTTAAACAAAAATTCTAAAAAATAATTTAACAAACGAAATATTGAAAATAAATTTCAGTAAAAATATAAAACATCCTTTTATTGAGAATTCACAGCATTTTTGATTAGGCTCGATCCACTGGCTTATCAGAAGAATTTAGCCAATGAATCACTTGACAATGGAAGTGAATCACAAGCATCATCAGCAGTTTAATCAGAATAAATCAAAAATTATATCAGAATTCCAGAATACTTTTAAATCTATGGAATATCTTCCAGAGAAGTTTTGGGAAATCCTTTTTTTTTCAAAAATTATTCGAAAATAAATTAAACCAAAAAAAGAAAAACAAATTTGTTCTGATAATCTAAATAAATTATTTAATTATTAAATTTATTAAATTAAATTTACTAATTATTAAATTTACTATCACTAAATGAAGTGGTTAACACTTATCATTCCTGGCTGACTTAGCTGACTACTTACTGTTACTGTTAGAAATTTTTACCAAGAAATCACTTGGCAATAAAACTGCAAAATTTACTCCTTTTGGGAAGTGGAAGCCAAACCCTCTAAATACGACAATACTATCCAGCATTCATCCCTTTACCTTGCCTCTCATTCTTCTTTATTAGATTCTACAAAAATTAAATTAATTTTTATTCTTAAAAAATCCCTTTATTTAATTTTATTTGATACGGAAAAAACTGAAAAACTGAATAAAATGTGACAAACTGTTTTATAATAAATTAATTAGCAAATAATCGAAAAAAAGAATCCAATAACAATAACAAGGAAAAAAAGAAGAGTAAAGCGGAAACGATTAAATGTGCACTATGTTCATCATGAAATCTTAATTTTTCGGTTGGAAATTTCGTCGAATTGTGAATTTATACAAATATGACTACTCTTCATCAATCAAATTTTCTCGAAACATTCCCTAGCATTTTGAATTTAGATGTTTGGTAGACTCAACAGGCAGTACCAATGCTTTTACCGAAATTTTAGTAATAAAAAATAAATAAAAAAAAATCCTGAAGTTTTAAAAAAGAAAAGAAGATAACAAAGTTCTTGAAATGGCCAGTTTTATAAGAAAATTATATTAAATGACCCGTACTTTTCAGTTTTTCCAAACCGCTTACCTCGCCTTCCAAAGTAGACGCGACCCCCACTCAACTTCCCTCCCTACCAACACAAGAAAACTTCGCATTCTGACACTAAATGCAAAGAAAACGCGAAGCTGACTGAAGCGTGCTTGCGGCGATAACCCTGATTAACAGGGAAGGCGCGAAATTTAAAAGCTGAAAATGAGTTATCGCCATCGAGTTGAGTTATAAGTTGGATTTTTTAGTGCCTTTTGCACTATGAAAGCGTTTTCCAGAGAGAAAAAGGACTTTATTGCAGTTGGAAAAGTTGAAATTGAAACATTTCTATAAAACCGATTTTATGTCACCGATTCTATAAATTCTACATATAATAAAGAATTTATTGCAAAATTACACACTGGTAAACGGACCAGAATTGGTGAAACTCGAGCTGAGGTGAATGGTGAATGGTGCCAAATCGATATAAACGGTGCCTATGTGCACGAAAAAATCGTTGTTCGATTTTTAATTAAATTAGTTGATTTAATATTTAATGAAATTTATCGTTCTATGGTGAATTTAATCCATCTTATAAGGCTCTCACCATTACTGGTTAGGCTGGCTCCGCTAGTTACAAGGGTAAGACCTCTCCAAGCTGCTCGATCCGATGCCATCGCTAGTAGAAACAGAAGCCATTCCTTTTTCCATTGTCCAAGTCCATATATCAATTTTTTTCATTTTATCCTCCTCATTTTTTGACTTTATCAGGGGGTTCGATAGCGAAATATGCGTCAATTCCTGTGATGGACGACGGAGAACATGTCCTAACCAGCGAAGGCGACGATCTGTGATAACATTGTTAATACAAGTGGTATTTGAGCGAAGGCGCGCTCTGATGATATCGTTAGAGAGTAACATGGAGATGGAATTCGATCAGATGGTAGTTTTTTAACCCAGATTTCTATAAATTCCAGATTTAGTAAGGAGACCGATGATCGAAGCCATGGTGCTTACTTGATATTAATCGAAGCAACAGTCTATTTTTTCATGAATTAGTTGTTCCGATCCAAATCCAACCATCCTTATTCGAACCTCACTTTTAATGAGAGATTTACTCTCATTAAAGATAAAGCAAGCTCCAAAACATTTGTCGCATCCAAAATAATTCCTTCAGACTATTTAAAAAATTTATCAACCATTTAAAAAAATATATTACACATTCCTCTGCTATCCTCCAAGACTTATCAAAACTAATTCTCAGAACTAAGAAATAAGAAAAGCTTTTTTTTATAAAAATATCACTGATTAATAGCATTTTACCTTACTGCACAACGACCCACCAAATAATTAAAAAGATGTTATATGATAAAAAAAAATAGAATGAAGGAAACCTCCAATCAGCCTGTGATCGATAATGGAAGTGGAAGAAACCAATTATTTAATGGATAATGCAGTGGCAAACAAACATATAATTTTGGCTGACACAGATGGGATTAGAAGGCGGCGACGACGACGACAACGGTTTATAGCGATTGCACATAATAGGTTTTATTCATCCGGCTAAAATTTCAGTTATCACCCACGTTAGTTCTCATAAAATATTTCCAAATAATTTTCAAAAATTTTTCATATACATATTTGTTTCATATCTTCTTTGTGTTATTTCTAGTTTAGCTGATTAGAATCTTAGAACGTATAGATCCTAAACCGTTGATCAATTGAAGAAAGGTTTCTGTGCCGCTCCATCTGATTGATATCCTTATCAACGAATCTGTTATTTGGAATGAAACAATTTGATGACAAATTGTTTTTGAAATAAAAAAATTGGTGGATAATCCTCGTTTGCAAAATGGATCAAAAAGGTGAATTTGATCCATTTTCTTTGCAGAGATTTTGATCATTTGGTTTTATTTCTCATTTCATTCTCAATTTACACTCCATGTTCTATCAAATTTCAGGATTTAGTACTTTGTTTTAATAATAAAAAAACTAGTTATCGATTTTGGGAAAAAAGGAAAAAAATGGCTCTCGAGAAATTTATAATTTGTTCTCCAACAGGCAATGGATTTCTAATATACGCATGAATTTAAGGAAAGGAAAAAAAAAAGAAAATTTTGTAAATTATGTGCTTTTATCTGAATTTCTTTTATCTGCAAAAAACTTTGGCAGTCTCATAAAAATCTCATACGATTTTATTACTTCAATTTATCATCTCAAGCAACATGTTTCAGCTTCCTTCCTCTTGTACGAATTATGATTATCTTGAAAAAATTCGAATGGAGCTTGGCAACTCCCGCTTTTTTACCTCCACTTTTTTGTATCCACTCAAATGAGGAAAATATGCTGAAAATCACTCTTATTTTAGTTAAGAATGTTTTTCTTACAAATCAGTTGTTATATAGATTTTCAATATTCACTGCCCTGATTAGCCTTTAAAAACTTCATTTAAAATAAACTAAAAAATATGGAAATTCCAAAAAATTCCGAAAATATCAAAAGAAAATGAATTTTCTGAATAGAACAAGAAGGGATCAATTTTTAGCAGTTTTTTTCTGTTATTTATTTATCGTCTATTATTACAAAGTTCTAATTAGCGCAACTTATTCATTAATTTATTAAAGCATACGAAAATTGGCAAAAAATTTATGATTGAAGATTTTTAAGCAATAAAAATTGTTTGTTTGTTGCGTTTATTCTGAGTGCCTCTAGTTCACTTGAATTCTGGAAAACGCAAAATACAAACCACACGACATCCATGGCCATATTTGCTGCTTATTCTTGAATATTTCTACAAATTTTTTTATCTTCAAACATTGCCCAATCGATTCATTCGAAAAAGAGATGAAGA